AGGGTCAGTGTTATTCTCACTCCCCTAGGGAAAGGAAATGTTGGAGGGACTGGAGCTCAACAAGTAGCCCTAGCCAACTTCCTGCACAGAGAAGCGTGAGCAATTGTGCACCGAGACACTGGGACACTGAATGGACATTTAGTTGTTATCGGCAAGTATTCAGAAGCTATCTCATCAACAACCTCAAAACGAACCCCCCTAGTTGGATGAAAATTTGGAAACATATACATATTCCCAATACTGTCTTAATACCCATGGTTTGGTCTTCCTCCACCTCCCAGATGAGGGTATCACTTTAGACCATGAGAACATGTCACAGGAATCAGGGCAAAATGGATTACGTACAAATTCATCACGGCCGGATGATCTGGTTAATTCAGCCAAAGTGCACTTCTCCTTCTCGCTCTGTTGTTGTTGTTTTGGGGCATAAATTGTTTGCATAATTGCTCACATTATTCTGGCCAAGGGATGGAATTTTATGTGCTTTACCTACATGTGTCATCTAGGGAATCACATGTGAAGACAAAAATCTTAGGATGCTTCTTTTAAAAAGTAGGGTCTCATTTGTAACCTCTACACACTGAGAGGAATTGTCTATTTCGCTTCAGGGCACAGAAGCCGATGAGGAGACAATGAAATTCTACAGGTGTGTGGCTTCTTCATGGAGGAAAGGATTTAGAATGTGCTGTAACCGGTTCCAACAGGGGAGAGGCCCCTCTCCAGGCAAACAGAGGTCAGAAACTTTCCATCTGAGGGTCTTGGCAGCCCACAGACATTGGACTTAAAAATACACAAAACAAAACATTTCTCTAATTAGAATTTTGTGTTGTGGGAAGTCGCAGCTCCCTCATGACCTTCATGCCCATTCATGAACCGCACAGGAAGGAACTTCCAGGCAGGAAGGCCACTCCTGCCTTCTAATCTAGCAGCTTGTAAGCAGGCATTCGTGGCTTTCACTAGCTTCTCTTGCTCATCTCAGATTTGATATATCCACATCCCTGAATGTGGAACCAAGAAAATAACCTCTCAATGAACTTCAGGTGATGAGTTAATGCCAAGTGCACTAGTCTCATCTAAGGCCTCACAACCAAGGAGCTGGCAGCAACACCTGCTAATATGCCAACCCCTGCTGGGACTGAGGGTGCACCCTGGGTCCAACTGTAGTTATCACAGGATCAGGTTGTGCATCTGTACCCCAACAGTATTACAGGATGGGAGTGCTGTGTAGGAAATCAATGCCATTGGTTCTTGGACTTGGTGCAAGCACACTGCTACACTGATGGCTGCTTCTAGTTACCTAAGTTCAAAAACCTTTGTACCTTCCAAGGAGTGGGAGTGAGAACTCAGGAAGGTCCCTCCCAGGACTTGTTCTCATTTCTTAGTAGCAAAAAGTGGCTTTTATCACTAGTGATAAATGCTCCATCATCCTTCCAAACGTCTCCTTTTCTAGAATGGCTCTAAGGGCAGCAGGATAATCCTTGGGCTAGACCCTCACTGCAGCAACTCTGGGAGGCCATGAGGGGTACAGGGAAAGCCCATAATAAGTCATCTTTAGTGAGCTGCCCCCATATGTTCATCACCCTATCCTGCTCAAGTTCTTGCATCATGGTTCTACTTATCTAAAGATATTTGCTTTTAATTCATTAAACCATAACTTGATTACTTGGGAAAAATGGACTTTCTCTGCCACTAGCCATATCTGATGTATCATTCATGATACTTAGAATGGAGGGCCAGCTCCACCATTTTCCAAAGGACTTCTTGGAATCTTGGTTACTTATCTATTTGATAGTACCAGACAATAAACAATAAGGTCTAGAGGTCTCCTTTAAAAAAAATTAAAAATCTGGGAACAGCAGCTGGAGTAATGGCTATGTGACTGGACTCCCATGTAGTTGACCACAGTTTGAGTCCCTGCCCCAACTCACACCAGGCGCATGTGTGTGTGCGTGCCCAAGATCCCGAGAGGAGAGGAGAATGGAGGAGAAGGGATTGCGGCATGGCCATCCCCCCGGCGGGTGATTTCTCATTTTCTGTCTCTCTGTCTTTGTCTTTCTGGTGAGTACACGTGCCCTATAGCAAAAACCTCCAAAAAATTAAAAATTTATTTTAAATAAAATTAAATAAAATTTAATTTTAACATTGATCTTAAAAATCTCTCTCTCTTTCTCTCTCTCATCTATCTATCTCTATATTTAGGCATAAATGGGCATAAAGGTCATGGGGGAGCTGCAACTTCACACACATAAAATTCTAATTAGAGAAATGTTCTGTTTAGTATATTTTTAAGCCTAATGTCTGCATGCTGTCAAGAGCCTCAGATAGAAAGCTTGTGACCTCTGTTTGCCTTGGGAGGGGCCGCTCCCCTGTTGGAACCGGTTACAGTACATATATATATACACACACAACCTTTACAGGGGCTGAGCTGGCAATGAATGAAAACCACTAGCCACTGTGTTCTTTGAAGTCCAAGACCCAGTTACTCTGACTCAGTTCTCAAACTCAGAGGGATGCCTCATCCCAGCTTTCCTCCCTTTAATGTAAGTGAGCCAGCATGCATTTACTGACCCAATCCAGAAGAGAGGTACCTGGAGGCTCAGCTGAAGGACCAGTTAAGGATCAGTGGGAGGACCCAGAAGCAGGGTTCTCACATGCCCAGTGCTACTCCTTCTGAACTCACTCAGCAAGCTTCCAGCCCAGAGCAGATGGCTGTCAGTCCTACCTGATAACCCCAGGCGCCCACTCTGTGCCTTCCAGAGTGGGTTCACTTAGACACCAACTCTGCTGAGATAGTGAATTTATCACTAGTTCAAAATCTTAGAACGCCTACACTTAGTGACTTCTTTTTTGCTGTTACTGCAATATTTCTGAATAAATTTTATAAAGATAAGCTTCCCTGAGTGCCTTTCAGGGGCCAGGAGCTTTTTATGAAAAGATTGTGCAGCTTCCTGGAAACCTGTTCTTCTGCTATGTGAGTAACACTTCCCTCCACTCTTCTCTGAGCTCAGTCTAGGAAGGAAGAGTCCGACCACAGTGGAAGTGAAGGCTGGGCATCTCTATTGGGTGAGACCACAGCTCTGCTCCTGGAGCAACAGGCCAGCTTTCTGTTACCCCTGCCCCCTGTGTCCTCCGTTTATAGCTTACACAATTAGGGTGTCCTTCCCCTGGGCAATCTTCCCCTTTCTACATGCTTGGCATAAGAGCTACTAGGTTAGCTGATCGGTCTTTCCAAACATGGAAATACCGGTTGTAAGTAACCTGGTGCTAATGAACACAGCTGGACAGAACTGGGTATTTAACCCCCAACAGCTGTCCACAGGACATGCCCGGGACATGGAACTGGAGTGCATGCTCCCTCTTTCTAATTGCAGCTGGACTCCCCAGCCAGCCCTCTGGTTTCCCTTTAGCTATCAACTGATAGAAAAGCAAGGAAGCAACGGAGCTCAAGTCTTTCTTCTCCTAAATGCTGATCTGAAAATCCTTTCATGTTGTTTTTTTCCCCCCTGAAGGTATTTTGAACAGTGGCCTGGTGGGGCTGGAGTCATTTTTCTGACATCCTGGCTATAGATGGAGTGCGGCTATGGATAGCATGTTATTCGGGGACCATCTGCAGACTCCCACCCTCTTTGGCTTGGCAAACATCATCTTTGCCATGGGGTAATCGTCACACATGAAAACCAATAAATAAACACATTTTCAAAAGACACAGAAGTTGCATGCTCTAAAACAGGGAGTGTTAGCCTCTTGGAGTAACCTACAGATGTTAACAAGGGCACTAGACTAAGGTCAGTGTGGTTAGGGCCCAGACAGTATCATCTACTTCAGCCTCTAGGGGACAAAAAAGGGGCCATAACTAAATTAAGAACTAGGACTAGCAGATGTTAACTCTATGGGAACAGGTAGTGAGGTATGAAGAGGCACTTACGTGGAGGAGGGCTATCTGCATTTCCCATGGATGGAACACAGACGAAAAGAAAAGACAAGAGACAGACCCAAGAAAAAAAAAAATAAGATGTAAAAGAAATGAATAGACTCTGCAGAGCACATGGAGCTGGAAACTCAAATTATCATATTACTTCAAATCCTGAAAAAAGCAACTCCTGTAGAAGGAAGATGAGACCGCCTTTCTATTTCTGGGGAGAGATGAGGAGGCCCCAGCTCTAAAGAGAAAGAAGCAAAGGATTCTCCTGTGTGCACTTTAAAATCTGGAGGGCAGAGAGCCCAGGGACTCTGCAACACTCAGCGGTCTTGCCTACAGAGTCTCCCTCAGCTGGATGGACCCAGGAGCCTCCCAGGGAAATGGCTGGTCTTGGGGAGATGTGACCGGAGGGCTCTTGTGATCCTGGCTGCTAGAGGGAAGGGAAGGTGAGGCAGGGTAGGCCTAGTTTAAGGAAAGAGGGAAAAAAAATGGAGAGAGAAACACATGGAGATGCCGCCCTGAATGGAATCGGGAGAAGCAGCTCTCCAGGGCCTTGCTGCGGGAGACCCTGAGGAAGGCTCCGGGTGGAGGGTAGGGGGTGGGAAACAGGAAAGTTGAGGCCTGCCTGTCCCCTTCATCAGGGTTGGGTTTCTGCTCCTGCTCACATCTTCTACAGAGCAGTCTCCATTTTTCTTGAATTCATATCTGTTGCATCACACCGTAATTGTGAACTGTCGCTGTCTTTCCCCTCTTCCCTCCAGTCACAGTGTGCTCAGGGCCTCTGTGGTTTTTGCTCTTCTCCTCAGTCTTTCCACAGCACACCCCTGATGTGCCCCCATTCCCTTTAATAAGGGGTTGGTGGTCTCCCCCACTTGGCTGTCATTCTAACAAGCTGACCCAGCTACCAGGACAGTATCCCTCTGAGAAGGAGACCTTTGAGAAGGAGAATGAAGGATCAATGAGTCAGCCAGAATGAAGGGCTGGGGCTGCCATGGGCAGGGGGATCTGAACGGCTGAGTCCCCATGGCTGAGGAGAAGAGGCTGGGTGTGTAGAAGGGACCAGGTGGCTGGTTTTACTTACGGACTGGCTGCGTCTTGAACTCGGAGGCCGCGCTGATCTCTCCCAGCCCCTTGCCGTTGAGGGCTGCCAGTCGCACTGCATAGGTCGTCTCCGGCTTCAGGCCCACGATGGTGACGATGCCCTCCGAGTTGGCTGTTGTGAGATTATGGGAAAAATCACAAAGAGGGAAAGGCTACTGTACAATGGTGTAGCCCCTCTGCAAAACAGTGTGGTGGGTCCTCAAAAAATGACACATGGAATTATCATTCGATCCAGTAGATACACAGAAGGACAGAAAGAAGGATCTCAAACAGATGCCTTGATACTCATGTGTACGGTGGCATTGTTCACAACAGCCAAAGGTAGACGACCCAAATGACCCCCAATGGGCGAACGGGTAAGTGAAATGCGGTCTAGACACACAGTAGAATATCAGTCCACCTTAAAAAGGAAGCACGTTATGACACATGCTACAATGTGGATGAACCTTGAAGACATTATGCCAAATAAAATAAACCAGGCACGAAAGGACAGATGCATGGCTCCTCTTCTGTGAGAAGAGCCAACTGCAGACACAGAAAGCAGAATGTTGACTCCCAGGGAAGGAATAAGGAATTACTGTTCAAGGGGTGCAGTTGCAGGGATGATAAGAAAGTTCAGGAGTTGGACAGTGGTGATGACTGCAACTTAATGCCACTGTCAGGTCACTTACAGATGGTTACATGTGAAATGTATGTTATGTGTATTTCACATATATAACATATATGATAGAGCATTTATGATATATAAATATATATGTCATAATATACACATACAACACATAAACATGTATAATACACAGCACATAGATATATACACACATAACACATAAACATGTATAATACACAGCACATATGACATATATAGTCTACACACATATATAATGTGAAAGTATATGTAAAATATATTTTATGTATATTTTATATAGCATACATTATATATAACATATATTATGTGCCCATGTATAACATCTGTTAAATGTAACATATTTAGCATATATAGTATATCATAACATATATTTTTATGTGTATTTTATTTATAATAAAATAACTAGAGTTGATCTTACACAAAAAAGAAGAAACGCCTGGTAGAAATGCTTGTTCTTGTGGACAAGGAATCGACCTGCCACAAAAGCAGTATGAGACCCCAGACGTAAGTGAAGAAGGTGAAGACTTCCTTCATCAAGCTCCAGTCCTGACTACACAGAATCCTCTCATGTCCCCACATCCCCCAAGAAGCAGAAGCAGAAGCACTGAGGGAAGCTTTCGGGCAGAACTAACTCAGCGAAACTGAGCTGGACCATGTCTTTGAATGGCTGTGATACGGACATCGCAGGCCACTCTCAATTCCACCCTAGTCACAGACCACCCCAGGATTAAAATCCTGCAGAAACAAAGGAGGCTTCACTGAGTGATTCCAGCGGAACCCAAGACAAATTGGACACAAATACATTCCAACCTCAGTCCGGGCTCAGAATCTTCAAATTACAGTAATCCAAGGGTCATTTAAAAATTTTTTTTTTTTAAGCTTGGAAAGATACAGAATTGATTTCAGAGCAGACTCATCTGGCTGGCTGTGCTTATTTGGTTACTGTCATAATCACATGATAGTCCCTGAGTACAGCTCCCAAGTAGGACTGGCCGGGTGTCAGCACAGACACCCCAAATATGCAGAGTAGGGATAAACCGGACTGTTTTGGTGCCCTTGGTACCCAAGTAGGGCTTCTTCTGGAAGGTGGCTGAAATGGCCTTGCCACCCCGGCAAGGTCAGGAGAGCCAGCTTCTCAGGCACCAGGGGGCAGAGGGCAAACAGCTCGACACAGAGATGCTGACTATGCCCTCATTCTGGAGAGGTGGTTCCTATTTTGTAGGAACACCAACAGGATGGCAGATGGTGGCACTTGGCATGCTCCAGTGGGCAAGAGCAATGTGCCATCCTACCCAAGATGGCAGCCAGGATCTGGTGGCTGCTGGGTATGAGTGTGTACCAACATGAAGCTCTTGCAATCCTAAGGACGATGCTGGCCCTTCCCAACTCACCTTCTTTGGCATCGTACCACTTGAAATGCCACACTTCCTCGCCCATGGCTCTCCACTCAGCCTTGTACTTGAGGATCGGCACACCGCCTGTGGCCTCAGGCTCATCAAACTGCACCTGTGCTGTGCTGGAGTATGGCTCCACCTGGTCGATGGATGGTGAAGAGGGGGTGTCTGTAGGGAGGATACATATGGAGACCCAGGTGAGCGCAGTCTGGCCCAGGACCATAACGCCCAATCATGACACATGACCCTCATTTCTGCTCCTTCTTGGGAATCTTGTTATTTGCATCCTGTCCTCCTGGCCATACGATTCTCTTCCAATGTGTCTCCTGCTCAGATCCTCATGCCGCCACTGCTCCCTGCTTCCTGACCCTCTGGCTTTCTTGACCCTGGCCCCTCTCCCTTCCACTCTCCTGGTATTACTGGAGTACACAACATGGGCTGGCAAAGGAGGAGGCGGTGTGTAAGCTGCCATGGGGGCCACTCACCTGCCTGAACAAGGATGAACTCCAAGGACTCCTGGCCAATGCGGTTGACTGCAGTGCAGTTGTAGTTTCCAAAGTCATTTTCAGAGTCTGGGGTCACCTTTAGAAAGAAGGAGCTTTTGGGTTATGAGTGTTCCATGGGATGGCCACTGACTCGGAACCCTATTTGCTGGATTAAGTTGGTAAAGAACATAAATGGTATGGCATGAATCATTTCCTCCAGCTCAGCCTTGACAAGACAGAATACCAAAGGGGCTCATGGGAGGGGCACATTCCACCTCCCACCTCCCAGTCCCTACTCCAGCCTCAGGGACAGGACCAGGGCAGTGGGAAAGGTGACCTGGGGTGAGGCTCAGTTTCTCCTCTAGCCAGTGTATCCCCTGTCCAGGAGAAGCCAGAAAGCAAGAGAGCAGAAGCGAGCTGCATGCAGAAGCCTATCCATTGTTACATGGTGCCTTTTCTGCCCTGTGCCCAGCCCCACCCTGGCTCACCTCCAGATAGCTGGCCGAGGGGGTGTTGTAGATCTTGATATTGCTGTAATTGGAGCTTGGCAGCAGCTGGCCATCCCGAAACCATGAGATTGTGGCACTGGGGTAGGCAAATACCTCGCAGGTGATGTTCACCTGGTTCCCTTCCCAAGTGTACACAGCCACAGGGCCCTGTAACTTGGGGGCATCTGCAATGAATAACAATGATGGTCAGGATGACTGCCACTATTGTGGAGCCC